CCTGCCCTTGAGCCCTGCCGGGGAGGGGGCAGCCACAGCTTCTCTGGGCAGCCTGGGCCGGGGCCTCACCACCCTCACGGGGAACAATTTCTTCCTAATATCTCATCTAAATCTGCCCTTTTAGTTTAGAGCCGTTCCCCCTTGTCCTATCACTGCACACTCTTGGGAAAAGCCCCTCTCCCGTTGCCCTCGTATCTGGTCCGAATGTATTCCCTCGTCTGCTGCCATGTCTCCGTTTCTCCTCAGGGAAGAAGCAGTGAGAAGCACGCTCTTCTGAAGGTCCTTCACCCGTTAAACACACCAATGCACGGTTCAAACAGAGCCGCAGGCGAAGGCTCGGAAAACACCCCAAATGCTGGCCACTGAACTTCCTTAGCTGACTGTCCTTCAGCTGGCTCGGAATCTTCTTTTCCTTTCTCAAAACGCTCGCCATGCTGACGAGTTACACGCCTGCAGTCCTCCAGTCAGCCCGGAACTGCTCGGCTCCGCGAGCGGGGCTGTTCCAACGCCCCCGGGTCTGCGCTGTTGGGCCATGTTCAGCAGTACTGACACGAAGATCGGTATCGTCCCGCTACGGTGCCTTGACGGCATCGCTCTTACCTTGCTGAGGGACACGCACGCGCTACCTCAAGGTCGCTTGCTGCAGCCTGGGGTGTAGTACTCTTCCTAGAAGCACCGTGCTTCTTTCCAGCGCTGAAACAATTCCTAGCTGATGGGTACACTGCAGAGCGGGCGAGCAGCAAGCACCACAGAGGCAGTTCAGCTAGCAAGGCCTGCTCTGCCTTCAGCTGCCTTCACTCCAGAGGACTCTGCGAGTGGGATGGGGAAAGGTTCATCCAGCACTGTTAGCTGAACGTCTTTCACGCTGACCGGACTTGTCAGCAAATAATCCAAATGAAATACCGTACGGCAGCATACTGGAAGAAGGCGTAGCCTGACAACATGAGGTGAGACGATGCAAGATCTGACGATCAGTGTCTTGTTGGTGACAGGACAGTGCATTTCTCCAGGTGTGATGAAGGAGGTTGGCCAAGCCCCCGGGTGAGGACGCGCTTCCAGAGCTGCTGCAGTGACCCTGCTGCGGTGGGGGGGGCTGCATTTGGTTGCCCCTTGCAGTCCTGCTGGCAAAGCGTCACGCGACTGATTTAATGGAATGATTACACGGCTGAGCGGGGGAGAAAAGGAAAGAAAAATAGCTGAAGTCTGATGCCTGAATGTTGCAGTGAAGTGTCTCCTAATCCCCTAATAACAGGGTAAGCTTATGGTAAAGGTAGGTGAGGACTTGCGTCATTCCCTAGCTTTCAGGTGCGTGACCAGCCAGGACGAACCACGCGTGAGCGGCTGCAGCAGAGCCACCAGCGACAGCCGAGCAGCCAGAATGCACCTTCACCATTTCTCCACATGGTGCTGTTCAGGGTGTGATTTTTCAGCTCAGCTCCCCAAGGGATCATGGCCTTGTGACCACCAAAGGAGTACAGGCGAGTCCATTCCCAAAAACGTCAAACGCAGCAGCTGACCTTAACCAAGTGGAGCAGAAGTGTGACGAGCACCTACGAGCACTGTCCGCAAGGACAACGCGTGGTCATCAGGCTGAAGACAGGCTCAAGGGACGGAGAGGCTGCAGCCCCAGGACACAAACCCAACTGCAAGCCGTCACTCTTCTCCAACTGCCTCCCGGCCGATCCTGGGGAATGCTGTATTTGGAAACTCCGGCCCATTTTGTCCCTTTCGATGGCTCTGCCCACAAGACCGAGGGAGAGGGACCTTGGTGGCTCCAGAGCTCTGGTTCAGTCGGAGGCAAGCAGACCTCTGTCACAGGCCTGATGACATTTGGTGCTCCGGGATCCAACATCCAGGCCATGGGGTGCCTGGGGGCTGCAGACCCGGCCCCGAGCCGCTGCCAGCCCGGCCTCTCGGTGGGGTGTTTGCGTCCACCTTGTTGAAGAACACCAAGTACCTAAAAGCTGGAAGCATTCGCTTCATCCAGTTTGCGTCACTGCCACCTCCCCGCTCTGTGATTTCTGTGAGAATCTGAGCGATGAAGTGGAAAAGGAAGATACACTTTGTCTGAAGATAATAAATTTAGAAGAACGTGTCTTTCCTGTAACAAGTGGAATGATATATGATACTATGATGTGTGTTAGCTAGGAAAAAATATTAGTTAAATTTATCCTCCTTTTTTTGTTGTTACCCATTTACCAGGCTATATAAATAACAAGAGACATAACTATAGATCAAATAATGTCAACAGTTATATCCTCACCACGTCTGCAGAGTTTCGTAAGCTCACTATGCTGTGAGGATAATGATGAGACTGCCAAGAACAGTGCAATGATTTGGAACGTGTCAATTATAAAAATACCACGTATTGACGCAGGACAAAGTAAGTTAAAGATCTGGATGAAAACAGCTCCGTATTATTCCCACCGTATAGGTGAGGCAGTTAAGGCACAAAGGAAAAAAGCACCGCTCGGCACAGCTCTGAGTCACAGAACTGCCGCCTTCGGGGAAGCCAAACGGTTCGCACTGGGGAGGGATCTAAAGGTTTCTGCTTAGGAGGAGAAGCAAATAAAACCGAGACAGATCAGGCCCTGCGGTCCTTTTACAAAAGATACCCGCTGGAATATGTGTCACATATTAAAAATCAGATTCAAAGCAAGACCAGCTTAAAAGAATCTGCTGTAACAGGTTTAGAACATAAACCGCATCTGTTTTTCTTCTTGCTTGGCCCCCAGGACCCTTCATTTTTCAAACGCACACACCCCACTTCTTTTCCTTCCGTTTTAAAGGCTGAAAAGTGACACGAGAAGTGTCTTGCTTTATAGAAAACAGAGTCTTCAGTGAAGGATAAGATCAGCTACAAATCATAAAAACAGTAGCCAGAGCGTAAATATTTAATAAAAATCTTTATGATTCTATAGACTAGAAATGATGGCAGAAGAAACACAGATTTGCAGAACATGAGTTCTCTTCCAACTGTATTTTACAAGATTCAGCCTATCAGTACATTGACATTTTTGCAAGTATCAAAAAAATAAAGCAAAACAGTATTACATTACACGGTCAAGACAACCAAAATCGTGGTGTGCTTCACAAAATCTGTACAAGTTAATCCTTAGCAGACCATCCTCGCTTCCTTCCGCACAAAAACGCTCGCTGCGTATCTTCTGGTGTTTTTTTTAATTCTTTTTTTTTTCTTTTTTTACAAAATTATGACTACCAGCTAAGAACATGATGCACCTACTCATCAGCCATTTATCAACTTGTTCATCAGGATTTAAGTATCAAGAACCCAAGGTGCAAATCTGAAATGACACGGGCTTGGTGTAACCCAGTTTTTGAGAACAGGCCTTTACGTCTTCAGGACACACAGTGATGCTCTTCTCCAGCTGACGGAGTTTGATCCGACAACTCTTTTTTTCCAGAAAAACTCTCCTCCCGTGAACCTTCCCTCAGCTTCCCCTCCCCAGCAGCTCTAACTGGCCTAAGCCCTGGAGCCCTCACTGCCACGATCCCGCTTTCTCCTCTTCCTTTGCTCTATCCGTTTCTGGCCGGATCAGCTCCCGGCGCAGGCTCACCCCGCGGCTGCAGGAGCCCCCGCGCTGGCAGCAGGCAGTGGGTGAAAGACGTGACCCAGGAGGGAAGGGAAAGCCGGAGAGCAAGGCTCGCCGCGCTGCCTCACCCAGGCTGCTGGGCAGCTCAGCGGCAGGTCCAGCTGCAGACTGCTCGCAGAACGGAGCTGAAGTCCCGCTCAGCTCCCATCATCCAGCCGGTCTTTCTGCCTGAAGACACCGCCCAACACCTGCAGTGGGTGACTGCCCCCGGGAAGAGGCACTTGTCTTCTGAAAACGAAGACGTTTACCTCGCTCTCAGGAGGCGAGGGCCATGAACAACGGGCTGTGCGCTGCAGGCTGACGCTCCCCGCGTTGCCTGCGTGACTGCGGTCGCTTTATTTCTTCTTGCGTCAGTCTTTGATGATGAGTTTGAAGAAGTTTAATGGCATGAAACATGGAACCGGCATGACTGCAGACCAAAGGCACCGTCTGTCGTCTTTGCCACGCAGATCCACACAAGTCCCTTCACCAGAAAAACACTGCCCGTTCGACCCAACGCTCTCCTTGCAGTGGAAGACGTTATTGTAGTGGGAAAGTGGTGAGCTCCTCTTGGCACAAACTCGTCCGGCTGCGCTGGCATCGCACCAGCGGGTAGCGTCAGGGTTTTAAATCGACAAGAGGTTGCGAATGTTTACTTTCTGGCCTTGCCTTCTTGAATTCTATGAAGTTATAATTTAGCGATCTGTACTAGACCCATTTCAGCCATGTAAGCATTAATTTCACATTGGGATTTTAGCTTTGCAAAGGCGAGCTCTGCAAGCCTTCCACTGGGACACACAGCACAGCGAGGGGACGAAGAAGGCACGGTTAACTTTTCTAATTCCCCACACGCAGGCGTACTCGGTGCTACCCCAGTCCTCACCCAGCAGCAAGAGGAACGGCGGCAAGGGTCACACGACTGGTGCAGCAGCGACAGGCATCCCGTGGCAGGCAGGGCCTTGCCTTAGGCTTCGTGTAAATTGTGAAGTTAAGAATCTCGTTATCTACTTTAATATACTAACGATACGCGGTTGATTGGAGTTGGTTTAGAGAAAGCAGAATAAAGGGTAGGATTTGCAAGGTAATGATGTAAGGAAGCCAGAACCAGAAGGACAAATAAAGAGACGTGGGTAATTGCTCAGCAGAGTCACAACATCGTTGTGTTTCTGGACGTCTTTCCGCACGGAACAGGCTCTGCTGTTGAAGGCAGACTCAGGCTGCGGGCCGACGTTGCTGTAGTGTCGGTGGCCG